CTGTCCCTGCTCGGAGGAAACACTATTGTTCCTAATTTCGCGTGGAAAGGGCAGTTCCCGGCCCCAGCTGCCGCCCACGTGTTCCTTTCCCACCCGAAATAATCGCTCCTGCTGCGGCTGAGCGTTCCGCTCCGGGGACCACGGAGGATGAGGACAGGGCTGCCGCCGGTGTTTGCTTTGTTTCTTCTTTTCTCAAAGGAGCAGATCCTCAGCAGAGCTCTTTGCACAGGCAGCTCAACAGCCCAGCATAGCTTCAAATGTATTTATGTTCTCCCTGCATCTTAAGTGTGTCTTCAGAGGATTTTTTTTTGTCAAAATAGGCTTTTCCAGGGTGTTTGCAGTGACAAGTTCAGTGTGACCTAGGCCTGAGACAGCCACTTGAAAATTAAATGTAGCTGGTTCTCAAGGTTCTTAAGAGGAAAAAATGTTTAATAAATATTCTTTAAGAGACATTCAAATAATAAAGAATATCAGCCAAGCCAGACATCCTACCTAATTTAGTCTCCAGAGCAAGACCTGCTAATAGATCAGGGTAGGATTTGTGAATTACCATTTCTCTTCTCTAGGGACTTTTCCTGAAATTATAATGGCTTTTCCTCTTTTTTTTTTTTCCGTGAAACTGCCATGAAATAGTTCCCCGTTATTAAGTATGAAACCTACCTAATTAGCACAATGACAGCCTTTAATGAGGCCTTGGCTCTGTTCTGCGTCGTTGATGGGAGTGGGTAATACCAAACCCAGGACAGTAATTACAGAAACACGTTTCCCCCCCCGTGAACTCGCCCCGTGGAAGGCAGCAAAGACAAATGAAGCTCGGGTGTTCGGATTTATTAGAAATCTGTTCACAGGGTGTGCTGAGCCCGGATGGGATCAAAGTTAATTTGATGCCGATAACACCCATTCAGACACCGGGGAGGAACGAGGGAGCTGCTGCTCCAGCTGAGGGCGGGAGGTTGTGGCTGGATGCGGAATAACTCTGAGAGAGGCTGGCAACCTCCCGCCGAGGCCGGGGCAGGGTGAGCAGGAACGTGTTCGGTGCCTCTGGGGCTTGCAGGATTCCCCTTGAGCTCAGCCGGCCCTGGCCCCGGTGAAGCAGAGAGGTGCTGGATCTGGCCCCTGTGGCTTAAGGCATGGAGGGGATTTGGCTCTTAACATTAACGGAGCTGCTTTTCCCGGA